AAGGACAAGTGCAGAGTCCTGCACTTAGGACGGAAGAATCCCATGCAGTGTCACAGACTAGGACCGAGTGGCTAGGCAGCAGTTCTACAGAAAAGGACCTAGGGGTTACAGTGAATGAGAAGCTGGATATGAGTCAACAGTGCGCCCTTGTTGCCAAGCAGGCTGACTGCATTTTGGGCTGTACAAGTAGGAGCACTGCCAGCAGATCAAGGGACGTGATCATGGCTCTATTCGGCATTGGTGAGGCCTCATCTGGAGTACTGTGTCCAGTTTTGGGCCCCACACTACAAGAAGGATGTGGAAAAATTGGAAAGAGTCCAGCAGAGGGCAACAAAAATGATTAGGGGGCTAGAGCACATGTCTTATGAGGAGAGGCTGAGGGAACTGGGATTATTTAGTCTGCGGAAGAGAAGAATGAGGGGGGATTTGATAGCTGCTTTCAACTACCATAAAGGTGGTTCCAAAGAGGATGGATCTAGACTGTTCTCAGTGGTAGCTGATGACAGAACAAGAAGTAATGGTCTCAAGTTGCAGTGGGGGAGGTTTAGGTTGGATATTAGGGAAAAAGTTTTTTCCTAGGAGGGTGGTAAAGCACTGGAATGGGTTGCCTCGGGAAGGGGTGGAATCTCCTTCTTTAGAGGTTCAGGTCAAGCTTGACAAAGTCCTGGCTGGGATGACTTATTTGGGGATTGGTCCTGCTTTGAGCCGGGGGGTTGCACTAGATGACCTCCTGAGTTCCCTTCCAACCCTGATATTCTATGATTCTTGCTGTTGGGTTGTGGAGTGGATAATATGATCTGGTCAGATGAGATGTCTTTCCCAGTTAAGCTTGGCTGATCATATATGTAACCACATCGAGTTCAAGGTTAGCTTTCAAGGCTGTAGAGTTGTCCCTTGTTTATCTGTCCTCCTCTCATTTCCTCACTCCATGCACTTCATCAATGATCAGAGGGGTAGCCGTGTTAGTCTGAATCTGTAAAAAGCAACAGAGGGTCTTGTGGCACCTTTAAGTATCTTTAGAGGTTCTAAAACCATGTGCTTTTGTGTCCTCTTAGATCTGAGGCAAAAGGCTTTTGTTCACAGGAGCACTGCATATAGATAATGTCTGTTCCATCATCTGTGAAGCACCTTGATGTAGACAGGTGTGGAATAAAGGGGGGGGTTACAGATTTTTTTTTTTAAACTGTGTATTTAAAAGATGAAAACTATTTTAAAGGGTGGGGCATAGCACAGGCACAACTAAAGTTTTTTTTTGTTTGGCTTTGTTGGTAACTATTTAGTCATCTTGCATAAAACCACATTCATGTACCAACAATTAATAGATGCCCTCAAAGTAAGTAAAATGGAATATTTAGTATGTGGGGTTTAATTTTCATTTAAGTGGAACTTTCAGAGGAGCTCTGGCTCTCTGCTCCCTTTGATTTTTCAGAAAGCCCTGATGCCAAGAGCACCAAAGAATGCACTCCCCAGAAGGGAGTGCTGCAGTCTTCATATTGGAGGGGAATAAACTTTGTCATGTCACTTAAGGAGCTTTATTAAAACAGCTTTAATGGTTTTTGAGCCTTTTTCTGTCCTAATACTTTCTCTATTGATGGAGATTAGCTCCACACTGTATGAGGGGCTTGCAGACTGTTGGTTGGATGGCTATTTTAACTCTTCCAGTGCTGCTCATTAGCTCATCTGTTAGGATAAGCATTGTATAAATGCCTATAAATAAACAATAGTAAATCACTGGAAATAAACAAGTCATGAGACTGTAAGATTCCTGTCTACATAATGTGGCTGTTTTCCACTCCTTTAGTAAACCGATGCAAAGTGGACAAACATGAACAATGTTGAGTAAGTTATGGAACAGGTACTCTGAAATGTGTTTAGTTCTTACCAAACACGTCTTAAAAGTAGCAGAAAGCTCCAATATGGTGTATGTATTTTAAAATGCATGTGAATGGAAATATTTTTAAAATGGGATGCCTAATCTCATTTGCACTTGGGTTTTGTATTACTTTGTTTTAACAAGTGTTTTTTCACATTTTTATCTTCAGATGTTTGTCCAGACCCGGTCATCCCTCATAGAAAAGTAAAGTCTGGAGCGAAACATCACTATGTTGTTGGCGATAATGTTACAATTGAATGTTCTACATTATACACTGTGCATGGTGAACCGAATATTCGGTGCACTGATGAATTTCAGTGGAAGCCTGCAATTCCAGAATGTAGACTAAGTAAGTATAAATGTGAAATTCTAAAAAACATTGTAAAAAAGAAAAGAAAAATTATATTCCATATTGTGACACCCGAATGCTATCTGGGATTCAGGAAGTTGTCACTTGGGGACACATTTTCCCATTTAAGGGGTGTTGTGAATGCACATTGTTTAAAGAGTTTTGGGGTGAGACATGGCTAATCCCTTTCTATTTGAGAGATTTTATTATATAAATTAGCCTTGTATTAGATTTTATTTTTATCTAGACACAGTACCTGAAGACTATTCAGTATGTCTTATCTTTTTAATTCCTTCTTGTCCTAATTTAACACTCTTGCTGGATTTTCTTGGAGATAATCCAGTAGAGATTAATACATATACACCTGCTTGTAGGCTTGTATAATTACCATCCATGCTGTTAAATTGAATTCACCTTTTTGTTTTTTCTAGGTTTGTACATCAAAATTATTATTGGAGGTAAGTACCTTATTAACACCAACCGAGATGCAGTGACGCTTGTTTTATTTCATGTAACTCCCAAATCAGGCCCTCCCACTACTACAGCTTCTAGCTCAGGGACCCTACAAACAGGAGCCAAGGTCTGCACCATCTCAACTCTTGCTGCCATTTCCATCGGCTGCTTCCTACACTGCCCTCTGCTGGCTTTCTTCTCCCCACCCTTCTGGGTAAATCCCTCCCTCAGGGTCAGGGCCTAGGTCTTGGGCTTCTACTTCCCTGAGTTTCCACCTTCTGTCGTCACTAAACTCAGACAATGACTGCAAACTTCCACATTACAGCCCTTTGCTCACCCTTCCCGGTTTTATACAAGCCCCACCTACTCCTGCCCAGATGGGCACTATCTTCAGTTAGTGCTTGTCAATCAAGTCCCATGCAGCCTATCAGGTTAATTAGTCCCTTCTGAGCTACCTTAACCCCTTCATGGGTGGTTATCTTTGATAAGGTGTTCACAGCACTTCTTAAAAAGAGAGAATGCCAGTGAACTTCCTGTAATGCAATGGGTGCAGCTGCTTTACCAGTTTGGGTCTCTGCTTTTTCTTCTCCTGAGATGATCCATTCAATAGCCTAGTGTGCTTTTGTGCACTAAGTGAGTATTTAATACTTTTGATTAAAGATTCAGAGGTGGGGGAGATTGTATTGTGGTTGAACACCGTACGTTGCTAAAAAAAAAGCATCATGAACTTCATTTCTAAACCTGTGAAACTTGTTAATCGTGGGGGTGTTCTTGGGCTAACAGTGACTTGTCACCCAATTCATTTTTTTTTTTCCTTTCAAGTAATTGTAATCGCTGCGATACTGGTGGTGGCTATTTGCATCTATAAGAGATATTTTTCACAAAAAGGGTAAGTCTACACCTGTTCCTTGTATTTGTTTGTCAGCTTCCTGATACCTTTTGTTTTTTGCATGAGCAAGTACTGTAGCTTCTTGAGCTTTCGTTAGCCTTTGTGTTCACTAACATGAAAGATTCTAGCTTTTCATCTACTGTTCTAAATGGTCAGTGTTTAACCTATTCTCAATTGGCTCTGATCATTAAGGTTAATTCACAGCTTTTTATGTGGGTAAAGACTGCCTTACTATATGGGAAAATATGTGCATTTAAGTTCATAATGCCACTACATAAATGCATGGTGCATCCTTCAAGGTGTGGGTGTATGCAATTCTGGTCACCCATCTCAAAAAAGATATTTAAAATTGTAAAACTATAGAGAAGGGCAACAAAGGATGATGAGGGGCATGGGACAGCTTCTGTATGAGGAGAGATTAAAAAGACTGGGACTGTTCAGCTTGGAAAAGACCCAACTGGGGGTGGGGGAATATGATGTTCAAAATCATGACTACTTATGTGAAGGGGTAAACACTTTCTCCTAACACAAGTACTAGGAGTCACCTGATGAAATTAATAGGCAGCAGGTTGAAAACTAGTAAGGGAATACAGCACACAATCTATGGAACTTGTTGCCAGGGGATGTCATGAAGGCCAAAAGTATAACTGGGTTCAAGAAAGAATTAAATAAGTTCATGGAGATGTCCATCAGTGGCTATTAGCCACAATGGTCAGGGACACAATTCCATGCTCTGGGTGTCCCTAAACTTTCAACTGACAGAGGCTGGGACTGAACAACAGGGGGTGGATCACTCTATTAAATTGCCCTGGTCTGTTCATTCCCCCTGAAGCATTTGGCACTGGCCGCTGTCAGACAGGATACTGTGCTAGATGGACCATTGATCTGACTAAATATGGCCATTCCAAGGTAGGCTTAGTTCTGACACAGGACTTTCTTGTGGAAGGAATATGCCTATGCCCTGCTCAGAAGCACACCTGTTTTTCCTACCATCTAAATCACTGGGGGAACACCCTTGTGCCATCCTCGTTAGTTTTTGTTACTTTGCTGCCTCCAGGGCAGCTGACTTCAGTAGGGAAGAATCTGTAGGACACTGCTTGTCTTTTCAAAATATTTTATTTTTCATGTCTGTCTATTCCTCAAAAGTATCTTTCATCTCATCAAGAAGCCATTTGAATAAATGTTTAACAGGTAAATTAAATCCCCCTACACACCCACAACACAAGGGAAAGAGCATGCACTTGTATGTAATGTTCTATTTTTATTTTATACAATACTTTCATGTAATTCATAATACAAAATAGTAGGTAGTATAGAAAAACAAAATGTGTAGTATTTAAATTTTGAAACTACCCAATACAAGTGTTTGACGTTTCATTTGTATAGATTTCTAGCAAACCTGTATAGTGACAGAAGTAATTTTTTAAATTCAAAAAAGAAAATAGTGAACATTAGAACCTGACCTTGTTCTGAGAACAGTGGACCCTGCATCCATGTAGTTCTCAGGCGAGGACTGGAGCCTAACTTCTTAATTCATAAGTGTTTCCTCTTTGTAATACCTTGCATACATTTTTCATGAGGTCCACTTTCTAGGACAAGTTGTCGTTTTTTTGTTTGTTTACTATGGTAATAAGCATTTGTTAGAATTTTGTGGGGGGGGGGAGGGGACACAGAACATACTTTCAAAAATATTTAGTGTAGAGAAATTCAGAGGTATGTAAAAGAACAAAATATAGGGCTCATTTCACCTGCTTAAAGTTGGGCATGTGTTAAGTGCTTTGCTGAATAGTATGGTTGACTTCAGAATTTACCTTTAAGTGCTTTGCTGGATCCAGGGCATTAGCGCACCATGTGGTTTTTTCATTAAATATACTCCATGAACTTCTGACACTTTTTAAATGCAAGATCCAGGTTAATATTAAACTCATTTTGATTTGTTAATGCCCCCGCTTGTCTTGTGTGTGTGTGTGTGTGTTTTTTTTGGGGGGGGGGGGGGGGGATAATTTTAAAACAGACCATTCAACAGACTGTTTTGGCTCCAATATTTGATATAGACGAGCTTATTTTGGAAATCACTGCAGGCACCAAACTCTGTATTCAGTTTCTAAACTTCTTAAGGCTCCCGTAAAAATAATCTCACCACCTAGTTCCCTCTTTCCTCCACTCCCTTGGGCTTAACTCACCATGCATAGAGAATATTAATCAATTAGACTTTCCCCCCCTCCTCTGCTGTTCAGCTCATACCAAACCGATGAAAACTGCAAAGAAGCATGCATTTTAAATACTAAAGTACCAGATGAAAGTGAAGCATCTGCATTAAAGAATTAATTGAAACATAAAAGGTATATTTTGTTTAAATTTCCTTTCCACTTGAAAATGTCCAAATTAGATGGCTTATTCATATTTCCAAGGGAAATGTGGTATGTAACTGCTATGTATTAGGTGAAGACCACAAGTTATTTTCATAGGTCTTCCTGTATGGTATGTGTTGTGGTGGGGTTGTGTTTTTTTTTTTTTTTTTTTGGTGGACTAATTCATTCTCATGTGTTATCTCCTTTGATAAAGGAGAAATATTGTCACTTAAAACCAAATTGCATCTGATAAGGACCATTGTACATCACCAGGTTTGAAGTGTTTTTTAAAGGCATGCATGAAATATTTCAGACTTTCATTTTAAAGTATTAGTGGCTTAAGTTTTTCAGTAATTTTATTTTCATAAAATACTCTAGTTATTACAAGGAAGTAATCATAGCAATGTAGGGCTGGATGAGACTGCAAGAGGTCATCTAGTCCAGCCCCCTCAACGAGGCAGGACCAAGTACACCTAGACCATCCTTGACAGTTTTTGTCCTATCTGTTCTCAAAAGCCTCTAATGATGGGGGTTCCACAACTTCCCTTGGAAGCCTATTCTAGTGCTTAACTATCCTTTTAGTTGGAAAGTTTTCCTAATAGCCAATCTAAATCTTCCTTGGTACAAATTAAACCCATTACTACTTGTCCACCTTCAGTGGACATGGAGAACAAGTGATTACGTTTAATACTATTTGGGTTTTTTTGTTTCAAAGAGGATGGTAAACTACTAAAAATAGAAAGTTTTAAAAAAAGTTTTGACTTGGTAAGGAAACGGTTTCTATGCTTGTTGCATTTAAATTAAGATGGCTAAGAGCAGCATTTTTCCTTTTGCATAGTAAAGTTTCAAAGCTGTATTAAGCCAATGTTCAGTTTATTTATGAGTCATCTCAATTATCCATTCAAAAACTTTTTTTCTCCTGCTGCTGATAGCTCATCTCAATTGATTGGCCTCTTTCAGTTGGTATGGCTACTTCCACCTTGTCATGTTCTCTGTATGTATAAATACCATCTTTCTGTGTGTTCCATTCTATGCATCCGAAGAAGTGGGCTGTAGCCCACGAAAGCTTATGCTCAAATAAATTTGTTAGTCTCTAAGGTGCCACAAGTACTAATGTTCAGTTGAAAACATTAACTCTGTAAACTTTAGAAAGAACCATAAACATTTCAGTTATGAACAACCTCCATTCCCAAGTTGCTCATAACTGAGGTTCTGCTGTACTTTATACAGAACCAGGAGGTTTTGTATCAATTAATTAGCAACAATTGTGGTGGTGATTACACCTCAGTTGAGTCAAAATGTTTATTTCAAAATCGTCAGTTACATTTCAAACATCGTATCAGAACAAGGGACCAAGCTGCTGCTTTTCATTGTGCTCAGTGATGACGAAGTTCTGGCAGTGTTTTTAACACTCTACATTTTACATGCAGAGATAACAAAACAGTCCTTTGAAACCAGGGTTTCCCTTTATCCCAGTCTCAAATCCTACAGTATGGCTTCCAAGAAGGTGGTAGTAATGGATTGGCGATCTAACATCTCAATCCTGGCTGCTTCCAAAAGGTTTATTGGAAGGACATTAACCTTAAATTTTTTAACTGAAACTCTTTTCTGTATTGTAACTTTGTCCAACTGAAACTAGATACCTAAAATTTATCAGTCTGGGCTACACATTACATCCCTATGTACCATTGTAGGACGTCTTTGACTACTTTAGAATGGTGTTTCTCATTAAGACTGTAGATTAGCTTGTGCCTCTCCTCTTGTGGGAAGGAAGGTGCTCTGATCATCTTTTGTTGTGACAAATCTAGAAATAGGTAGTTGTCATTTCTGTATCTGCTGGGCAGGACACAGTGATCTGAAGTAACAGCAATAAGAGGTGTTTACAGTGGTAACTTCCGAATTCCAGTTTGCAGTTGCCAGGAACTCCCCATTGGAGCAATAACACTTGTTGGCCCTTATTCTAACCTTCTCCCCCCACAAAAAAGTAGATGGAAAGGATCATTAACGTTTGGTCTGAAAGTCTCAGCTTAATTTAATAATCCTTTAATTTTTAGATATATTCTAAATACTGACACAATCCGTTGTAGGTACACACTGGGGTTTAAATCCTCACGTGTTGGGATGCTAACCATAATGTCATTGGACCACAAAAAAGAGAATTTTGCTCAAAACTGTTTTTTTTTTTTTTTTAGGGCAGCTTTTGGTTCTTAATTTTGCCTCACATGCCTCCAACAGTCTTAAATATGCTTAAGGAAGTGACTTCTCAGGAGCATGGGATTCCTAGCTAATTGTCACAATGTTGGTAACTGCAAAAACACTAAGAATTTAACGCTGTTTATTTTACAATCTCTTCAGCAACCAAAATAATCCATATAACAGATGCATTTCAGGAGAGCAGAAATGCAGGATGTTGTCATTAGCAGTTATCAAGCTGCTAAAGTTTAAAAAAATAAAGAAAAAACCCAAAGTCATAAGAGCCTATTTACATTTTAACTTTTTATAAGTGTACCAGCAGCCAGTATGTCTCTGAAGTAATAGAAAAGCTGAGTTGAAAAATATCACCAGTTTTGTCGTTACAAAGGAAGAAATATTCATTTTAATTGGTAATTTAGCATAAGATTTTTCATACAATCTAAATTCTAATTGTTGTTTTTGCAGGAAAGATGTCTCCACTTCACCTACTGCTCAATACACCTCATGTAAAACCTGATTGGTGGGGAAGGGGCAGTGGTGAAAGAATGAAGCGAAAGGACTGCATTTGCACTATATTTCTGTAGTGGAATATTTAGCCCCTACTTTCACCGGAATTGAAGATGCTTTCATCTAGATTTTCTTCTCCTTTTGTGATTGACTGCTATAGGCATCTACTGCATCTTTACCAAGGCAGAAAGCCAGAACATATACCAATGCCATCCCTTTTAGCTCACTTGTCTGTGTGCGAAATTAACTTATAAAAAGCTTCGTGTGTCTCACAGCAGCCTTGCAGCATCCTCCTGCGTCCAGAAGAGACTATGCAATGAGAGAGTGCTTGGTAGGTTCTTCATACGATTTATATCGCATGAGTGGCCATATTGTTTAAATTATCTAAGTACCTCTATTTTAGGAAGGTGACTGTGCCTATTGAGAGAGATGGTGCTTAAGTTATGAAAATTAACTTAAGTTTTGCACATTAGTTTTCATATTTCTTACTTGCAAATAACGGGAATAAACTTCTCTTGCTGTCCACTGCTTTTGGATATACTGTGCATCTAAATCAGGTTTTTGTGTAACCTTCCTGTTAAGGCAATTACTTGGTCTTGGTGTGCAACACGGGGGAGCCTGGGTAGTAATTCTGTCCCAGTTAAGACTGCAAAGGACCTCCTTGAATGGGGAATCAAAAGCATGACCACATCAGAAACATCCTGTTGCCACTCAGATTTGCTAGATAATGAAGGTTTCCCACTGGAAGTGATGGAAGATACTTGATTGGACAAAGTGCTGGCAAATACACTCTTTTTAATTGCAATATAAATACAATCTTGAGGTGGAAGTTGAATGAGGAAACACTTTTTTTCCTTGCTGAAGGACCAGCCAATACTTGTCAGCTGAAACAGCCCCAAAAAAAATTACATTAGGGATCTTGGATGGGAGGTTTCCGACTGGAATTGAGTTCTTGGTGCATCTCTGAAATCATATACTTAAATCTGTTTTTCTTCCCAGAGACTTGGCTGCTGAGTTCAATCCAAGCTTTATGACTTGAAATGTATAATATTATGAAAATTGTCATGATCTATCTCATAGCAACATGTGCCTAAGCTAATAAACCACCTCTTACCACAGACCATGTAGGCAGTTCTGTTATAGGTTCACTTTCCCACAGAAGGAAGTGGGTGCAATTTAATTTTTTTATTTCAGATGTTCATTGCTCTGTGTGATATGGATGTATATATTTGTATTAGTACTTTATTACTGTGTTTGAATAAATAAGATCTCATCGCACTGTCTAACATTTCTGATAAAAAAAATGTTAGCTAGACTGTGGGGCATGCTTAACAAGGAAGGGCTAGATTCACAAACTTTTTGGGGCCAAGAAAATCACTGGAATTCACAAAGTCTAGGCAGGCTGTGCAATGAATGGGAAGAGTCAGAAACCAGCATGTTTAAGATGCTCCTTGTATAAGGTAGCCAGTAGGTGGTACACAGCCAAGAGGTAGGTGCTAAGCTCTACCCCTCTCTGAGATTGGCACCTCTGTGCTGTGAATCCTGTGGGGTGAAGTACCTACACTGTTTTTGCAGGAAGCGGGGGGAGGGGGCAGGGTTGCTCAAGCTTGCAGGCACTCACTCAGCATTTATCCATCATGCAACAGCTTCTACGTTGATCCAGCAAGAAGGAGCAAGCAAGTATGAGTGACTCAGTAACCGAATGATTAGAGCATGCACCTAGGAGCTGGACATGTGCTCCAGTGACTTTTTTTAAAATGATTCGCAGTGGAACAGTTTCAACTGGATATACTGAAAGAATCCTACAGCAGCCTAGGGCACTCACTGAGCAATGGCAGAACCCTGTTCAAATCCCTTCTCTCCCTCAGGTGGAGAGGGGACTTGAACCATGGGTCTCCCAGGTGAGTTTCCTTCTAACTTTTAGCCCAGTGAATAGGGTAATCTGTGCCCTCTGGTCATTTTGTGTAAGCTCATCTCTAGGGGCTTGATCTAGCAGGCAAGGTGTGAGCATGCTTACCAGATAGGACCCCACAGATGAGCGAGAGGACCATCTACCTTTTCCTGGTTTATGCACTCTTCTGGGGCTTCAGCTTTAGTTGCCCTACATCCTTTTGTGAATCTAACCCAAAATGTCAACTACTAGTCTTTTTGCTTATCAAAATAGCTTTAACAGCTAGGACCCTGCTCCTGCAAAGACTTACTGTGAATAGTCCCACTATATATGTACAAGAAAACATTGTTATAGACTAGGGGTCTAGTGGGGTGGAATTGCTTTCTAAGTACAGGGTATATTAGAAATGCCTATATCAATCATTGGACTGTTTTATAGTGCCTTTCACTGTTAAGGGGGCAGGGGAGAGCTATTTAAAATGCTAGTGTGATTTTAACCATCTTCCTTATTTAGTACTATTCAGTTTATGAACACAAGGATTTGTCTTAATGTAAAGTCTAGTATCCACTTGTATTATTACTAATAAAGAAAAGTGATTTTTTTTAAGTGAAGTGTGACTGTCACTCAAATTCTCCTTTGATTTTTAATAAGCAGTCTGCCATGTGACAACTAGTCTGACTTATTTCAGAAAGATGTCAGATTTTGCAGTTTCACTCAATTTTATTTTTTAAAAAATGAAAAAAGGTGTGTGATCTAGTTTTTCATCAATCATTTTGCTGGAGAAAAAATACTGTTTTGGGTTGTCCTGAATCAAAATGAGTTACTTGCACAGCTCTACTCCATACATATTTTATACTATGCTCTTACTGCGTTGCAAAGTATCACCATCCAACAGGTAGATTAGATTGACTATTACTTATTGCAAGTATTAACTTGTGTTTAAAACTGCATGAACAGCTGTAGAACTAATAATTAACAGTTAAATTTATATCTGAATATAAAGATGCTGGAAACTGGACGGGGGGAGTGAAAAGAAACCCTGCTTGCACCTGTCAGTCTTTACCTAAGCCAGAGGCCAATACCATCTTGATTTAAAGAAAAACTAAATCGAAGTAGGTCACCCAGATTTGAAAGACAAATAGCTGTTTTATTGTAAGTCAAGAAGAAGGTAGGTATTTTTTTTATTTTATAATATACACAGCTGCACCGCCTTGTCCACTGAACAGGAAGAATCTGCACTACCGTGTGTGTGAACCAAACACAGGACCCTTCACTGAAACTATTCCTACCAGTTTAACAGAATACAAGCACAACTATTACATTAATACACATACTTACAGAGCAAGATGATACTTTTGCTGACAGCATTTTGGGATCCCCATGATGTGAATATAGGTGCTTGTGGAGAGGGGGAAAACTGAGTTTCCATTAGTGTTGCTTTTCCCCCTACATCATAACCGATTTCAAATGGTGCTAGACAAAAACTGAAACTCTGAACACCAAGAGAGATCGGTCAGCCTGTGTAAGAGACATTTTCCCAGCTCAAAGAAGGGGGGTCGTCTAGGTCACAGCCACAGGTCCGTTTGAGAAAAAACTGCTGTACCAATGGTTTGACTGGATGCTTCTGGACATGCCACAAAAGCCTCTGAAAAATAGTTTGAAGAAACTAGCCTGACTACCTTAGAACTCAGTATCTTCAGTGGTCTGCATTAAATATGGGAGGGTTATGGCTTTACTTGTCACAGGAGCTATTGGAAATAAGTAATCCTTGAATTTTTGTTTTTAAACAGTAACATCTTTTCTCAAGAAAACAGCTTGATATACGGTACATGAGCTTCTACCACCTACTGGTAAGAGAAGGGGTTAGAATTTCAGAGGTGCTGAGTACCTGCAGCTCCTACTGACTTTATCACTATTGAAAAACAGGCCCTAAAATGAATGCCATGATTTATTATGGCACTAATGGATATATGAAGTTACCCATCATAGCAGTCACTTAAACTTCCCATAATCTAGATACAGTACTAATCGCTCTTCAGTATTCACAACCTGCTAAATAAGTGTTTTCACTATGGACACTTTTGAAGGATGAGGATCCACAAAGATAACTTACTGATTTCAATAGGAGTTAAGGATGAGCATAATGGGTGGGCTCCACAAAGGTACTTAATTGGGTAAAAATACATTCTAAAGAAGTTCTTCCTTGCAACAACCCTAAATGTGACTGTTTTACAAATCCAACAGATAACCAAACTGACACACACAAGGGATGCTTCAAAACTTGCCACTCAGGCTATTTACCAGGCTAAAACTAACCTGAACAGTTGACCCATTTGATGAAGTTAGCAAGCTGCTTCTTGGATCTTCTTTTCCCATGCTGCAATTCTTGCTCCTAGAACACTGATTTCAAATGGTGCTAGATACAAAGATGGGAAAATCTAAGCCACCATGTGAAACCAGCTTCCAGAAGAAGACATCTCTGCATGGCCACCATCTAAGACAGAAAAACAGCCTTCTTCAAAGTCTATAAAAAAAAAATTTTTTTTTAAATTACAGCAGTCGATACACCACAGCTGTGGGAGCAAACTATGGCAAGTGCTGACAAACTTTAGATAATATATATAAAGTCTGACATTAGTCTTTCTATATGATAAGTACACCTCTACCCCCGATAGCATTAGTTATATATCTAACACGGTAAAGCGGGGCTGCGCACTCCGGCAGATCAAAGCAAGTTTGATATAACTCAGTTTCACCTATAACGCGGTAAGATTTTTTTGGCTCCTGAGGACAGCGTTATATTGGGGTAGAGGTGTATTATCAAAATGGTAAGATACCCGATTTAAGAAAATCAAAGTGGAATTACTGTGTTTGCTATAACTCCCCACTTAACATCCTCTCGCTTAATGTTGTTTCAATCTTGCGTCCCTGCTCCATTACAGAACATGCTCCATTTAAAGTTGTGCAGTGCTTCTCTATAACATCGTTTAGCTGCCTGCTTTGTCCACAGCTGGCAGCCCCCCTACGCACCTGCCTCCTGCCCAGGGCAAGCAGCTGGTTTGCCGCTAGCAGGAGAGAGGAGCAAGGATGCGGTGTGCAGAGTAAAGGGAGTGGGGGAGAGAAGAGGCGGGTTAAGGTTGACTTGCAAATCCTAAGTGATGACGATCCTGACGGAACGCAGCTCCCAAGTGCTTGGGGGAGTTGGTCATCTAATGTCTTGCTATAAAGAAATTTACCAAGAGAAAAAAAAGGAAAGCAAAACAACAATCCCTAGATGTGGTTTTTCGAGTTCAGAAAGTTCACCAAGAGGAGCAGCCGGACAATCCACTCTCTGACTCCACCACTTCAACCAAGCTTCATACTCGCAATGATGATTGCTTGTTTAAAATTGTTTAAAACAATTCAATACTACAATTTAATACAGGTATAAGTTTTAAATTTATATAATGCCTTTTGTCTGGCAAAACAAAAATTTCCCTGGAAGCTAACCCCCCTATTTGCATTAATTCTTATGGGGAAATTGTATTCACTTAACGTTGTTTCGCTTAAAGTCGCATTTTTCAGAAACATAACTACAACTTTAAGTGAGGAGTTACTATATATGTTAAATGGATAAGTACAGTAAGTAGTTAAAGAAAATGAATAGCATGGCAAGCTAATATCACGGTCATGCAATGTAAATATCCACACTTCTTTTAGTCTAAATGTTGTTACAGGATTCTTGTTCCATATTAAATACCACCAAACTTTGAGCTGAGGCATTCAAACCCCTCCATTGCTTTTGTCCCTTATTTCAGGCTGAGGCTTGGTCTACACCTAACGCTTAGGCCAACCTAGGTACATCACTCAAGGGTGTGAAAAATCCACACCCCTGAGAGAGACCGTTAAGCCAACCAAAGCCTCACTATGGACAACAAAGGGGGTGGATATGCTACAGAGACTGAAGGATTTCATCCTCTAGTAAGTGTTTACCCAGCACGTGGCAGCTAGCCTTCTGAAGTGTAAACAGACTCAGTCTCATTCACGTAGCCAGATGTGTGTACAGCCACACCATCTTCCTTTCAATAATAGTGAAAATAGGCCTATATTTTTGGTTTTTTACTTGTGATTACACCTGTCACAGGATTTTTTTTTTAAACCAATGTACTTATGCATCAAGCATGTCTGTATTTATATGGAGCTTTTGTAAAGACAGAGCCGTAGGTTTTTTACCAGTTCTGCATGTGAGATTTGCCATGAATGCAAATCTGTTTTTAAACAAGAAAGTATAGGTACAGGAAGTACATCTGTCCATCTGATCTTGCTGGCTAGAGGTCTGCAGTTCCAAGGACTGACCTTCTGGGGGCAGAAAACAGCTTTGCAGTCTTCAAAAAAGATGAACAGGATTTCATGGGAACAATGCTCAGTACCAGAAAAATAACTGAATCTATGAACTTTCAGTGCTCTTCTCATAGCCCTCTAGGACTGGAAGGGACCTCGAGAGGTCATTGAGTCCAGTCCCCTGCTCTCATGGCAGGACCAAATACTGTCTAGGTTAGATAAATGTCTATCAGGGATGGTCTACTCTTAAATATCTCCAGAGATGGCTATTCCACAACCTCCCTAGGCAATTTATTCTAGTGTTTAACTACCCTGACACTTAGAAACTTTTTCCTAATGTCCAACCTAAACCTCCCTTGCTGCGGTTTAAGCCCATTGATTCTTGTTCTATCCTTAGAGGCTAAGGTGAACAAGTTTTCTCCCTCCTCGATACCTGAAAACTGCTATCATATCCCCTCTGTCTTCTCTTTTCCAAACTAAACAAACCCAATTCTTCCAGCCTTCCTTCATAGGTCATGTTCTCAAGACCTTTAATCATTCTTGTTGCTCTTCTCGGGACCCTCTCCAATTTCTCCACATCTTTCTTGAAATGCGGTGCCCAGAACTGGACACAATACTCCAGTTGAGGCCTAACCAGCGCAGAGTAGAGCGGAAGAATGCCTTCTCGTGTCTTGCTCACAACACACCTGTTAATACATCCCAGAATCATGTTTGCTTTTTTTGCAACAGCATCATACTGTTGACTCATATTTAGCTTGTGGTCCACTATAACCCCTTGATCCCTTTCTGCTGTACTCCTTCCTAGACAGTCTCTTCCCATTCTGTATGTGTGAAATTGATTTCTCCTTCCTAAGTGGAGCACTTTGCATTTGTCTTTGTTAAACTTCATCCTGTTTACCTCAGACCATTTCTCCAATTTGTCCAGATCATTTTGAATTATGACCCTGTCCTTCAAAGCAGTTGCAATCCCTCCCAGTTTGGTATCATCTGCAAACTTAATAAGCGTACTTTCTATGCCAATATCTAAGTCGTCGATGAAGATATTGAACAGAGCCGGTCCCAAAACAGACCCCTGCGGAACCCCACTTATTATGCCTTTCCAGCAGGATTGGGAACCATTAACAACTCCTCTTTGAGTACGGTTATCCAGCTAGTTATGCACCCACCTTATAGTAGCCCCATCTAAATTGTATTTGCCTAGTATATCGATAAGAATATCATGCGAGACCGTATCAAATGCCTTACTAAAGTCTAGGTATACCACATCCACAGCTTCTCCCTTATCC